TAGTACGCGGAGCAATCTGTAGAGCTGGAAGCTGAGAACTGGCGACTTTCTAGTGCAACTTTAGTACGCGGAGCAATCTGTAGAGCTGAAAGCTGAGAACTGGCGACGTTGTAGTACAACATTAGTACGCGGAGAAACCTGTCGAGCTGGACGCTGAGAACTGGCGACTTTGTAGTACAACTTTAGTACTTAGTACGCGGAGTGACTGGGGAGCTGGAGGCTGAGAACTGGCGACTTTGTAGTACAACTGTAGTACGCGGAGCAACCTGTGCAGCTAGAAGCTGAGAACTGGCCACTTTGTAGGACAACTTTAGTACGCGGAGTATCTGGGGAGCTGGACGCTGAGAACTGGCGACTATGTAGTACAACTTTAGTATGCGGAGCAACCTGTGGAGCTGGAAGCTGAGAACTGGCCATTTTGCAGTACAACTTTAGTACGCGGAGGAGTCATCTCTCGCGACTGAGTCATCTCTCGCTGCTGAGTCATCTCTCACGACTGAGTCATCTCTCGCTGCTGAGTCATCTCTCGCTGCTGAGTCATCTCTCACTGCTGAGTTATCTCTCGCTGCTGAGTCATCTCTCGCTCCTCAGTCATCTCTCCCTGCTGAGTCATCTCTCACTGCTGAGTCATCTCTCGCTGCTGAGTCATTTCCCGCTGCTGAGTCATCTCTCGCGACTGAGTCATCTGTCGCTGCTGAGTCATCTCTCGCGACTGAGTCGTCTCTCGCTGCTGAGTCATCTGTGGTTGCTGAGTCATTCTCATTGCTGAGTCATCTCTCGCTGCCCACTCATCATACACCACTCATCATACACCACTCAACATACACCACTCATCATACACCACTCGTCTTACACCCCTCATCACACAAGACTCATCATACATCACTCATCATACACCACTCATCACAACCCAACACTGGTTACAGTTGATTGTTTTGTCAACAGGTCAGTTTGTACTGAAGGTTGAAGTTTTGGGCGCAGTTTATACTGACAGTTTATACTGACAAGTCCGGAGCGCGTGCGTTTGACTGGGGGACGCGCGTGTTTGAGAGAACCGGAACACTCCTATAGGTCAATTTGTTCTTATAGGAAACTTCCGCCGCCGGCTTGCCCGGGAACTGCTTGGATATGTTGCGTCTACATAGACATAGCCAAGTCATTTGCGTGTTATGTCGCATGGAACCGCTGGGAACCACTTGGAACCACTTTTTGGCCAGGCTGCACCAATGGGATCAAACATTGCAGTGTCCGGAATGTAGGTGGCATCGGGTGGCATGGATCAACACTTCCCCACAAGGAGGACATCCGTGGGTGTGTTCCATCCGAATCACCACAAAGATCCGCAATTACTTGCTTATTTGTAACTTGTTTGCTTGTGTACCATCACCATCACGCAACTTTTGGAGTAGAATCGCACACAAGAAAAAACACTCTAGCAGCTAGCAGTAGTTACAGTAGAGCATGCAAGCAAACATGCCGGACTTGCAACCCGCACGCCGGAAATCGCGGGTTTGGTGTCCAACTTGGTGGTCCTGGTGCTACCCATGGTTTGATGCGCATGATGCGCCCAT